ATAGAGCAAAAGATTACCAGCCTATTGAATGACTCTAAGGGATAAACGGTCCCCAGGAATGGAAGTGGCATGAACTCCTGAACTAATTGGGAGCATGAGGGTAGGGAGGAGGGAGCTGCTACAATAAGAGCAAGAGAAGAGGAGTAGAGGAGAGGAAATGGAGTGGCAGAAATATTGAGTTGGGGGAAGAATAGAGGAAAGAGAGCAGGATGAGAGATACCATATCAGAGGGAGCCACTATTGGTCTGAGAAGAGATTCAGAACCAGGGAGATCTCTAGAGACCTACAAGGATCACATGATCTGACAATCCATGCAACGGTAGAGAGGATAACCTAAAACCCCTTCCCCTAAAATGAGATTGATGACTTCTCTTTATGCCATCCTAGAGCCCTCACCAAGTGGCTGATGGAAGCAGAGACAGACATCCACAGATACACACTGACTGAAATCGGTAATTTAGTTGAAGAGAGGGAGGAATGAAGATCAAAGGGGTCTGTGCCAGGTTGGAGAAACCCAAAGGAACAGTTGGCCTGAACAAGGGAGAGCACAATTGACCTCAGATGCTGACGGGGAGGCCAGTACAAGACTGATCCAGACCCCTAAACATGAATGTCAATAAGGAGGCCTCTGCACTCCAGGGAGCCTCTGGTGGTGGTTTAGTATTTTTCCCTGGTGCAAGAAGGGACTTTGAGAGCCCATTCCACATGAAGGTTTACACTTTGACCCTGGACACATGGGGAAGGGCCCAGGACCAGCACAGGAAGATTTGGTGGACTTTGCAGAGCCCCCATTGAGGGCCCTACCCTGCCTGGGGAGTGGTCTGCTTGATAGAGATGATGAGAAACACCAAGACTATTTCTTCAAGGTTAAGTTAAAGAAAGTTGAAGGTGGGCTAGAGAGACAAATTACCAAATGACAAGGTGAATTTAAAGAAAATGACTCAACAAATTAAAGTATGATAGATTTTAAGGATCACTCAACTTAATTCCTTTTTTTTCTATATGGAAAAAACTAGACCCAAATATTTTCAATGGCTATCTGAAGGTGCCAACAATTTTCAAATGTGATATACTTATCCATTTTAATGACCTGTATAATATCCCAGAAAATTTTCCTCACAGATAATTCTGTGAAAATTCACTTTTTTAACATCAAAACAATGGAATTGCATTTTGATAATAAACTCAAGTTTACAGTCATTTAGTAAATGAAGCACAAAACAATTAATTTTCCTATCCTGTAACTTAAGAAATAAAAAATTAGTAAATAAATATCTGAACATATTAAGTGTAGGGCAGAGTGAACAGTATACCACCTCTTAACATTCACCCTCCCTGCATGAGACTCACTATAGAAGGGTTACAATGCTGTGGAGAATGTTGAGCCAACATTATGAGCATCAAATCTCATCCTAATCATTGAAATAAACTCTAGATAAATATGTTTTTGCTTCTTGTGGGCCAACTATACATACTGTACTGAGGAATACTATGATAGAACCACTTATGGTATACTTTGTATCACAAGTCTAATACAGCTTCAATGGCTTTATTTAACTAGCATCTAAAAAGTTCAGCTCTTAGTATTCTGCATTTTACCTTGGGCATGATAAGTATCAATCTGCATTGAAAGTACCCCAGCTACCAATTCCCACCACTTTCTGAGAAGACCTCCTTGTGTGTAAACTGCCCCGGACAAAGAACCAATTTCACAAACCTTCTGGTAAACAAATACATTTATAGAACTGGAACCAAGATGCTACAGTTGTACTCATTAAAAAAAGTTCAGCTATCTTTGGTCTTTAAAAAAGCCTACATTGCAGTATCCTAAACCTGGACTTAGAAAAGTGGTCTAGCATAGCAGAATGCGAGTATGATGTCACTGTGAAGAGTAGCATACTATGGTTTCAGGAACGTCAGCATCAAGGCATTGGATTCTGTTCATCAGGCTCGAGGTCATTACTGCCTGAGGTAAAGAGGCTGGAGAGGATATCTAGCTCATCCACCTGTGGAGTAGGCTGCATGACTACCAGGTGGTCCTGGGGAATGTCTGCAGCAGCTGCTGCAAGGTTGGTGATAGATTTACTCTTTACACATTGAAAGTCTACATGCCGACTCTTGCCTTCTTCCTTCTCCCAGGACATTCGAATAAAGGGTCTTTGGACATAGTTGTAAATTACTTCTAGACGCCCCCCTGGTCTTTTCTTTACTTTTTCTTTGTAAGTAGGATAGCCTTCTATTCCCAATCTAATCTTCTTAAGACCCCTCTCCTTCAAAACTGATTTGGCCACATCTCTGTTTTCAATGTACTTGAAAAATCTATATAATTTCGTGCTGTAAATAATTTGTGAATATTCTTCTCCCATCTGTGGTGGATAGTCCTCATCCCAATCAACTACATCGTCATCTGTAAGCACCACTATTTGGCACTCTCGTTCCCCACTCCGAGCGCATGCTACCATGAGTGGGAGGATCTTTTCTTCCAGATAAAATTCAAATTGTCTACGAGCACCATCATTTGATAACTCATGCAAAAGCGCCCTGAGATCTCTACATTTAATTGTAGTGTATTCAAAAGAGATACAAAGGTAATTGCATGCTTCTCTTAGCTCAGGAACAGATATGCCCTCAGGACAGCGGATGATTCCAGTCTTATAGTAATCCAATATAGCTCGAAACACAGTACAACCAATTCCTTCTGCTACTTCGTATTCTCCATTCTCATTGGGCGTTGTGAAATTATGTTCTTGGCCAGATCCAAACATCCTGCCCAACTTTGTATTTGGCTGTGCAGTAAAAATGGACGGGTCCACAACAAATCTGGTGTTATCCACTATCAGCGTTACTCGCGCAGATGGTCTCACATTACAAGCCCCTTCTTTTTCGTTCTCACACATAATCGTCATCTCTCCAGATGTCTTATAGCTACCATCTGAGATTGACTGACTACTGTTCCCAGCACTGCTCATTGAGCCATTTGGAGACGCTCTTTGAGGACGAGGACTGCTTGGACAAGACGGATTATGATCTTTCTCTGGTTCAACATGGTGCTGTAGTGTTGGTGAAGTCACATGTCGAATACAAGGAGTAAGCTGAGACTCTGCTCGCTCATGAGATGAATCTCGTGATCTGTCACTTGACCTCCGTCTATGTTTTAATAGTTCCTCTTCCCCACTAGCACGATGCAGACTCATTTTGTTGTGGTCGACTCCTCCCTTAGCAACATCTGAGGCAATGCGTTCTATTGTGATGTGACCTCTTTGGGTTGCCACTATGATGGCACAGAGGTGACAAGAAAGGGGTGGGGCACTTGGTTACTCTGCCCTGCTGGTCCCTGAGACGTCCAATGAGGGTCCAGGAAAAGGGCAACTGAGAGCATTCGTTTCTTCTACCTACTCAACCAGATACCTCAGGTGTTAGGTGTGAGTGTGAGGTTGCGATTCCACCAGGTGTGCCTACAAGAGCCGCCCTGGCAGGTTACAGCCAGGAAAATTCACTTTCTTTACATTTTTTATTAATTATTATTATGGAAAAGAGTGGATGATTTTATTAAGTTGGTTCTCTCCTTCCAAACTTTTCCTGGCATGTGGGGGGATTAAACTAAAGTTCTCGGGCTGGCCTGACAAGCACTTTTACCCACAGAGCCAAACAGCATCCCTGACAATCTGCCGTTAAAAAAAAAAAAAAGTATTCTTCTGTTCAATATAGTCTTGTATCTTTTTCTCTATGGCTTGTAACGATTATTTATGTCCTCATAATAGAGTTATCATTTTAAATTTTAAAAGGCGTTAAAAAATATTTAGCTCATTCCTGTATGCTACCTTCCCACACACGAATTCTCATGTAGTATGATGACTTTGGTTGTTGTATTTAAGCCATCTGCAATTTGATCTAGCTCATTTTTTTCCAGAGCTGAGAGGCAACCCAGTAGGAAGAAAGGGTCCCAAAATCAGCTAACAGAGTCAGAGACAGTCCCTGATCCTAATGTTAGAAGACCCATAGGAAGACAAATTCACACAATGATGTAGAGTGCCTAAGTCTGTCCCATGCAAGCTCCCTGGTTGGCAGTTTAGTAACTGTGAGCCCAGGTTAGATGATGCTGTGGGTTTCTTGTGGTGTTCTTGATTTCTTTGGTTCCTACAATTCTTCCTCCCCCTCTTCCTCAGGATTCTCTTAGTTCCCCCTAATTCTTGGCTATGGGTCTCTATATCTGCTTCCATCAGTTGCTGGGTGAAGCTTGTCTGATGACAGTTTATAACCCTGCTTATAAACTGTGAGCAAGATTATGTTAGTTGAGATTTTGGTAAGAGTTTCAATAAAATGGTATGTATAAGTTATGAACATCATGAGGGAAACACACCAGAAGGATGAGGAGTAAAATTTGCCTTGACTCAGCAGTAAAATGAAGCCATGACTTTCTTATTTAGCTTTTAAGATTTATTTTATTTTTGTGTAAGTCTGTTTTAGTTGGTGTACCTGAGCGCAGGTGTCCAGAGAGGGAAGATGTGTTGTGCCTCTTGGAACTGGAATTAAATTTGATTTGACTTGTCTGATATGGGTGCTAGGACCAAAATTCTGATTCCCTGCATGACTAATGGATGTTGCTAACTGCTGAACCATCTCTCCAGTCCTACTTCCATTATTTCTTAATTAGTAGGGAATAAAAAAATCCTGTCAGATTAAACCAAATTATACCTCATAATTTACTGTTACAGCTTCATAAGGCAAGAAATATTTGAATTTCATTTAGAAATATTCATAGGATATTTTCAGACAGAGAATAGATAGGAAATTGTAGTCAAGAGTACATAGCATGCTGATATTATAAAAGTAATAATATAAAAATGTGTGGAAAAAAGTACAAAAAGAAAAATTGAAAAAAATCTGTATCCATCAAACAACATTACACTGTACATTCACAATTAAGGGGAATAGGTGAAATGGAAAGACATGTGATATAACTGAAATTTCATATTAATTGTTATCATGGAGACTTTAAGAATGAACTTAGGTGGAAGTAACCACTATGGGTAATCAGTTTCCTAAATACTCTTTGTGGGGGTTACATTTACAGATTTTTCACGTAAACTTCAATAGATTGAATGGTATACCACTTACACTCACTCTTTGATGTATAGATGTAAACATCTGTCAGGAATGCTGGTAGTTGAAAGCACACATATGAGTCATTCCTCAGAAATTTCTCTCACTTGAAAGAAAACCACTCACATGTTATTTTCTCCCTTTCCCATGCACAAACTTTGCCAGTGGTGGCCAGCACAAAGCTACAAAAGTACAGTGCTTTCCCTTGATTTAAATAACCTAACAGCTCATGTCAGTTTGAGCATTCTGAGATCAACAAAGATGTCGTTGTAAGGACATGCAACTTCAGATTTTTATTTCTCTACTTATAGTCTTGGTTCTATGAGTTCTTATATAGATTTTATTCAACATTCCTTGCTGCAAATATCCATCTTATGTGTCTGATTATCAGGAATACAAACTCAGCAGAACATAAATACTATAAAAAATTGAAAAATGAGATTGAGCCTTTTTTGGCCACCACAGATACCTGCATTTACATGATTCACAAACAAAATACACACACGTGCGTGCGGCACACGCACGCACACGCACACACACACACACACACACACACAATGAATATAATATTTTCTAAAATTATATAACTGATTATCTATGGAATTTTATGTGGTCTGAGGTTTCAATACAGCATCAAACAAAATGATAAATGATTTCATGATTGGTCAAAAACTTATTGTACATGAATAACAGAAAATCTTAGGAAGAGTCATGTAGATAAAATTATGAGTAGTTCTAAAAGACTGATAATTTTAAAATAAACTAATATCTGTGAAAATTATATGCCATGAAAGAGACATTAAATAACCATGTGGTTAGCATGATTTGATTAATTAACATGTAACATCTTGATATCAGTTTCTTCCCACTGATAAAGTGGGCACACAGATCACATAGGCTGAAGGGACAGAGGTTGTGCATAAAATATAAATAATAGTATCCATATCATCAGGCTGACCTAGTCACTCCTTCTACTAGACACTCAACATGCTGATAACAAATAACAATACTAAAATCTCAGTTGGGCAAAATACCACAAGAATTTCAATCAATTGCAGTAAGCCATGTGATTTACTCTATACAACTTTCAACCTCATGTATCACAAGCTTTCAGAATCTTTGTGTCATAAAAACACGAGGCAAGAGAGGAGATAATCTACTGGAAGGAAAATTGACTCCAGTCATCATGAGATGGTAAGGGTATGGTTGTACAAATGAATTGTGGGATTATGGGGAAATGTGTTTTTTTCCAAGATGATCCAGCAATTGACTGTTCATATTCCACAGTTCAGTTCTGACAATAAATGAGTAAGAGTAGTAATCATACCCATTGGTGCATTGTAAAAATCATACAACAAAATCAGAAAAGTTATCTGACTTTTAAAATATAAGCAGATTAAATATTGTCCAGTGTTAGTACCTCATCCTGTATGACTAAATGGTTGAGTGTTCATGCCAGTTGATTATCCATGCACCACCCCAGATGTCACCTCATATTAACTCTATGTATTAATATGTGACTCAGAAATTAAAACTTGGCATGCTGAAATTAGGCAATGTAAACAATTTTTTGAATGAATGTCTGCCAAAATTGTTAGAAAATATGTGTGAGAATATAAGAGGGGCTGACACATACCTAAAGAGACTTAGAGCTTGAAATATCTCTCATAACTATGTTTGGAGTGAAAAGGCTTCAGAATGGGTACCAAAACATGGACAAATCTGTGTTTGAAAATGAAGACTTATTTGGGAAGAACTGCAGCCTCTGAAAGAAAAGTGTTCCTATTGCCAACCTGAATTCAAGCTCATATTCTCTATCCCCGTTTGTGTTCTTATCTTTTACTGCTATCACTCATTAGTCAAATTATATCTAATGCCAAAGAGAAACAATGCACATAACATTGCATGATGTCAGTCTCTCATAAAATCAAGATGAAGCATACAATAACTGTAGAAACTAATGTATGGGTCAGAATACAAAAGTCTTTTTTTTTCACAATAAAAGATAAATTTCCCCAAAGGCTAGAATGTTTGAAATTGAAATAAATGTGTTCAATTTTTCTCAGTATACAGAAAGATAAAACCTGATTGTAGTTTATGTCAGGGAATGTAAGTGCTTTATTTAAACATTTTTTGCTTAAAAATTTCTTTTGCCACAAAAAATATGACAAGAATTAGATCCAGCAACTAGAATATCTTTCACTGGCAAAATGAGTAGATGGCTAATACTAATGGGTTTTCATGTGTGCAATCTTCCATTTCTATACTTTCTAGGCTGAGTAAACTGTTTTCTGATTAACATCATTTATCAGAAAGTCATTCACCCATGTTGAGTGAAGTCTTACCTATCTGGAGGTATTTCTCTCTGCTCGATCCAACTGGAAACTTTTTCCCTCCAATCAGAATTTTGTCTTGTTTTCAAAATCTGTAATTCATTTTGTATTTGTTGATTTTATGGTTTTGTTTTCCATAATTTAATACAAAATACATAAGGAGAGTCACATTTTTTAATGAACCATATGGCCTGGTGATAAGAGTCCTGTGCTGAGAGTTATTGTCTTGGGCTTCCTTCATTCTTTCTCCTAGTTAGTGAGCAACTAAGGCTCATTTTTTTTTTTTGCTTATAAAATTAAGCATACCAAAATCTAGATGTAATGAATGAAGGATCATTTTCCCCACGGTTCTGTCTCTCCCCCCCCTTAAACTACATTCTAGTGAAGGTTTTCACAATATACTTAGCAAGTGAGGTCCTTAGATTACTAAGGACATCCTTTTTCAATTTACTACTCATACTACTATACAAGTCACTTTTAATATCTATCCTTATGTCAAACCGTATCTTGAGCCTTAAACTCGTCACTGATTTTTAAAAAATCTCACAGCCATTTCTGATAGAATTTTGCTACTGTTTTTACTTATCTTAAGGATTTGAATTTGTTTTTACAAAATTAAAATAATATAGAAAATTATATATAGTAGAAGACTGTCCTCAAGAGTAGATAAAATTCCCCTTAGCTAGGCACTATCCTATAGCAAAAATGATATCCTCATACCTAAAGAAGCGTGAAGTGTGTTTTTTCTCATTCTTTGTCTCTGAAAGGCAAGCTTTTTCCTCCATAAGCTT